AGAGCTGATTTATAGTTTGAAGTTAATGTCATTTGAAAGTATTAAATAAAGCATAAAATCTGGTATTTTCAAATGACATATACAAAAATGAGAAAAACTAAATCATGTCTAAAGGAATGGTGCAAGAAACACAAATGTTCAAATCATTTCATATTGTCAACATAAAGCTTTTGTCACTTATAGATTCATTGGGAAGAGTGACTCAATTTTTTACATAATACTGTTACTTCAAAACAATATTACTCAAGTAGGAGTAAAAGTATGTATAAGTATACATTTCAAGTACATATATAATATCGTGGGCCATCACAATATATATAATTACAAGTCTCTTTACTTAAATTCATAGTTACAGCGCAGCAACAGCTAAAAAACAAAGAGAACTACATTGACCATGATCCTTTGCTCTGTTTCCATCCTATCTACATGCTGAAAAAACTGTTATTAAGCACTTTTAAGTCTTAATTATTTGGATTATGATGAGAGAAAAGTAGCATATTCACAGTTTTATTAGCCTCCACAAAATACTGCAACAAATATCAAACTGTGAGATGCATATTGTGAATACTGTATATCGTATTGAGAGATTTTGAAATCGTTACAAAACAGCTCTTTCCAATTCACTAAATATGCAGCTTGTTATATGTCACAGGAAATGCATACAAACTCCAAGATATCCACAAAAAGCCGTCTTTTCTAACCATATCTTGCATGGTTGTGTCGGTTGTGTCTGAGCCTGCTCCGTCCTGGTTGACCCTAGATCCAGATGGGCGGAGCCTGTCCACATGTTATTCCGACTATGGAGAGATTCAGTCTTTTCTCTGCAGTTATTGACTTTGAAAGAGTGCACACTGGAATGTTATTTATCCAAACATTTCTGGCCTGTTTTCTGGACTGCTTTTGAATCAGTAATGCTGCAGATTAGATGTGGAGGAGAGAGATGCATTCCACCAGCTTTAATGCTACTTCGAGAGATTTTATCAATATTTGGGTACGGGACCAGACAGACTTTACTATGTGTTTACAATGGTAGCAGTCAAATCTTCTGATACTTATATTTTTAGATCATTTCCAGATGAAATATTTCGTCGATTAGATTTCACTGTATGTATACTGTCTCCTTGTGTGTCTGTCTGACTTTGGGGTGGGTCATATAGCCAAAAATGTACATCATGATTTTCTTGGAGCCAGATCGTTATTTCTATTTAAAGGTCCTATATTACGCAAAATTGACTCTTCTGAGCTTTTAGTCATGATGGATTGCTGTTAACGCATCAAAAACATACTCAGAGTTGTGTTTTGTTTCATTCACATGTTTGAGTAATCCTGCATTGTTACTCTTGTCTACATCTCCAAAAATCAAAACGCTCTGTTCCAACTTGTGATGTCATGAAGCAGTAGTTTTCATGTTTACAGCTACCTTTTACCTTTAGTTTAGTAGTAGTTGTAGTATAGTTCAGGGCTCAAATTATCCAAATGATTCAAGTGAAGGTGTATGGAGTTTAATAGCACAGAGGAGCGCGTCCTGTATTACCACATGACATTACAAGGTGGACAAAGTTTCCTGTTTGAGACAAGAACTTAGGGTTCACAGGGTTTGTGTGTTAAATAAACATGTGTGAATGAAACAAGACACAACTCCAGGCATGTTTGTGATCAGGGTACAAAGTAGGGATGTAACAGTAACCGAAATATCATGATATTGTACCGTCAAAGTTCTCACAATAATATCGTAGATCATCACAATATATCGAATTACAAGTGTCTTTGCTTAAATTAAGAGTTATAGTGCAGCAATAGACAGAGGGAACTACATAAACCATGATCCTTTGCTCCATTTCAGTGTAGATTACATGAAGAAATAACAGTTCTAAGCACTTTTAATTCTTAGTTCTTTGGATTAAGTCTTGTCAAGGCATTTTAAGAGGAAAAAGTAGCATATTAACAGTTTAGCCTCCACAGAATATTATAATAAATATCTTACTGTGAGATGTATATCATGAAAATATTGTACAGAGACATTTGGATATTGTTACATCCCTTATCATGAGTCTCCCCACCATATCGTGAGTTTTCCCACAATATCGCAATAAATATCATACCGTGAGGTTCATACCTCACCGAGTTCACACTTGACTGTGATTGGTTAATCCAGCTGTCACTCACTCAGAGCAGTAGTGGCTGACCATTGGGAGGAGTGGGTGCGAAAAAGCATCTGTTATTAAAAAAATAAAATAAAAAACTGACTAAAGATATGACCAAAACAACATGAGATCACAATTCGATTTTTATCAGCATATCTGACTGAGCATCAATATCTAAAATAGTGCAGAATTTCAATGTTTTGTGCAATTTCTGTAAAGAACTGTGCTACAAGTTTTAGAACTCCTGATATATCTAGAGGCTGAATGTATGATAAGAGCCCACTAGAAGTGAAATGACTGCTGGGCCGAGGAGATTCATAGCAGATAAGGTATTTTATTACACAACAGTAATTCTTAAATGCCCTCAGAGAAACAAATGTACTTGGTATGCATACTTAAGATTCTCACTTTTAACCACTTGGACATAACATTTCCAGGAATTCCAACTAGGACTAAACCCAGAACTTAACCAGGACTAGAATAGGATCAAACCAAGTCCACAACAGAATGAAACTGGGGTCAGAACAGGACCAGGGACCCGACTTTGGAGTAGTTCAAATTTGAAGTCAAGTAATTAAAGGTGCACTGTGCAGCTTTTCTGATAGAGGGTCCACCAACTGCTTGTCTCCATGGAGATTTTATTGCTTTGCCTGGAATGTTCCATGGATTTTAAACAGTTCCATCTAGCATTTATTGATTATGAGTGTTTCTGTTACACACAAATACAACAAATCCTTCTGTGAATAGGGGGATGCTCCACAGATCTGACTTGTAGTGTAGTGCTGCAGAGGTGGGACCAAATTGTTGTTTTTCCAAGTCTCAAGTAAGTCTCAAGTCTTCGACCACAAGTCTGAGCCAAGTCCCAAGTCAAATACAGGCAAGTCTGAGTCGAATCTCAAGTCACTGACCCCTAAGTCCAAGTCAAGTCCAAGCTGTCTGCTTTGAGCATCAAGTCATTTCAAGTCTTTAAACCAAAGAACCAAATATAGCTTAGATTTTTGCAATTTATATAAATTTTGAACTAAATTGTACTTAAAAAAAATCATAGTATATTTATATATGAGTATTTAGAGAGTATATAAGAGTTGTAGAAATGTACATTTTTCCATTTTAAATGTTTTGACAAGATCTTAGTGTGAATAATTACGGTCAGAATAGAAAGATTTAAAGGAACACTTAAAAAAAGATTTAAAAGTGCTTCTCAAGTCTTCTCAAGTCACAAGCCTCAAGTCCGAGTCAAGTCCCAAGTCAATGGCCTTTGCTGTCCAAGTCAATTCCCAAGTTTTAATCCATTTTATCAAATCAAGTCTCAAGTCCTAAAAATAGTGACTCAAGTCTGACTCAAGTCCAAGTCACGACTTGCAAGTCCTCACATCTGTAGTGCTGTAACCTGCTTTCTATTGTGATAGGTAGGGGTAATGTGTACTGTGGAACATTCTAGACAAAGCAGTAATATTTGGAGACAGCAGGTGACGGAACCTCCACTAGAAATGTTACGCAGTGCACCTTTAATGCTCTGATCTAGTCATTGCCATTGTAAGGTATGGACTTAAAGGTTCGCTATGTAACTTTTGGAGGAGGATCCACCATCTGCTTGTCTCCACTGAGATTTTATTGCTTAACCTGGAATGTTCCGTGGCATGGCATTAAAAGTATTTTATCTAACTCCATGGAGATGAGAGATAGAACCACCAGGCCAAGTTACAGTCAGATCTGTGGACAGGCGACCCCGCTTAGAGTAAGAATGCACGTTTTTCCAAGTATTTTTGAGCAATAATAACACCTGTATGAATAAATGAATACAAGAATGTTAAAAACTTAGTGTGGGACATTTCAGGTCAAGCAATAACGAGAGAAAAAGATACCAATTCCATTCATTTTTGCTATAACCCACTCGCCATGCCTATATTTAGAACAGCAATAGCATTTTACAGTTAATTGCAACAGCTCACAGACAGACAAGCATGACTATTCATTCGCCACGGTCAGTTTAGTCTTGTGACCTACGGATGCGTCTTTGAACCCGCAACCATTTTATTAACAATTAGTATTTTCCAAGTATCTTCTCATGAGAACATAGCTGGAGTTTCATACTTTTGCTTTGTCCATTGTTGACATTACAGCGTTAAGTGTGTAGACAAAACAGAGATTACTTTTATTGAGTAACTTTTTCATGAAATTGTAGCCTACTTTTCAGAGTACTTTTCTAGCAGCATACATGAGTGGCCTAAAATTTTTGTTTTATTGAAGTGGCAGTACTCTTTAATTGAGTAAAAGTTTTGGTTACAGTTTCCTCTCTGAAATGACACTATGAAATTATTTGAACATTTGGGATATGATTTAGTTTTTCTCATGGTTTATCCTTTGAAAATTTCCCACCATTTTTTTTTACTCTTGACTTGAGTAATTACTTAATTTTACTTTTAATACTTGAGTACAACTTTAGCTACTCTACCCACCTTCAGTTTTAGGCATAAGAAATTAAAAAGTAGCCAACAGATGACCACCTCTGTATTGTTTTACGCTTGCATGTAACCGCCAGGTGTCCCTCGTACGCACAGATATGTTCATCTTTATAACGGATCTATGGAGTATGGTCAGCCACTACCATTTAAGACAAAGCACGTAGACTCGCAGCACGTTTAAATGATCCAAGACGTACCCTTATGGTTGGTACGCACATGGTCCAATTTATGCGTTCCAAAAAATGCGCAGAACCAAACTTTATAAACAGCCCAAACTTTGCGTCAGTGGACAACTTTTACGCACGCATGATATTGAGTTTCGTGATACAGAATACGTTATGATGAGAGAGAATAAAACGTGGTGCTGTAGATTTGACTTGTGCGTACTCACCCTCGCTTCCGTACAGTTTTCCATTGTTCGCACCCATTTTATAGAATACATAATCTACGCGCGACCCTCCGCTGATCCAACACGGTTAAATCCCAATCCGGAAAGAAAGCGCTCGTCCCATCGAGATACCGTAGACACCCGAGAGTTTTGTGTCGGCCCGTTAACTCCTGACTCCAAATCCAGATGTTGAACAGGCACAGAAAGAATTACGCAAAACTCCAAAAATCTACGTTGTCCGCGCTCCCCGTGAATATATCCTCGTATTGATGGAAAAGCTGGCTAAAATTCCTCCGGGGGAAGTTGAGAGCAAAGTTTAGAAGTGGCTGAAATAGTAAGCAGCTGTTTATCGGGAGAGTGTGTGCGCGCAATCAGAGCGAGAGCCAGACGAGTCGTGAGGACGCACAGAACTGCCAGCAAAATCTGGATTTAAAGAGACCGCACGCTGGCCAAGGGAGAAACCGAGGAGATGACCGAAGGAGAGATGCGCCAGGAGACGGGGAGGAAAGGGTTAAAACGTAAAAGCGAGCTGGATATCTCACAGACCCAAGTGGCTGAGTGCTTTTGTAGTAGAAATTGCAGCTTTGGTTTATTCTTAAAAGTACGCGTACGCCTCGCTTTTGGAAACTCAACTGACGTGTGACCAAACGCATTCCATGTGGTTGAACACAATGGCAATTACCAGTAAGTCAGTGTCACCGCGAGCTAAGTGCCCATTTAGAGACAATGGCAAAGTTGGACAGTAAGGAGATGAGTTACTTCTGCTCTAGTAATTGTCAAATGTGGAAAGTATCCAATTACAAATACTCATGTACTCAAGAAGGATATTTGGGCAATACTTTTTGGAGTAGATTTTTAAACCTGTGCTTGTTTGCATCATCACTGTGCATAGGAGTCACTGAGTACAGTACAGCAAGTCCCAATTGCCCTAATCCACTTTTGTCTCACTGCTGTCTGTGCTCTGATTGGCTAAAGCTCAGAGAATATGAAAATTCTGGTTCAAAACAATTTAGTGTTAAACTGTTGAATTAATCAATCAGGTCTAAAACTGTATTAAAATGTAGAAACAGGTACTTTGAGAAGTATTTTTCATGGATACTTCTTACTTGGCATTTTGGTGACCATATTATTATTATTTTTAACTGTACTTTTAACTGTACTAATTTAAAAAAATTTAACTGTACTTTAACTTGAAATTCTGAGTAGCCTATGATTTCTACCACTGGTAGTTTCATGAACAAAAACTGCACCATCTATTAACTTAAGGTGCCATATGCAATACTTTCAGCAGCAGAATACTAAAAGAAATTTGAATTGATAGCAAGGCAGTTAGAGTAGTAATAGTAGAAGTAGTAGTAGTTGTACTAGTAGTAGTAGTTAATGTTGTCCCAAAACTAAAATTTCATACTCAGTTTAGATATTAGGGAATAAACTCAATACTCAATACCAATTCTGTAACAACAATGATAAATAAAAGCACACTTTATTAAGATAAAACAATGTGATTTTCAATATTAAATTATAGTACTACTTTTTTATATACACTATAACCCTGTGGTCTTCTATTTGTGTAATGTGAGGGGCCTATAGTTGTCTATACGGTCTTATACTTGTTCTGATACAGTTCAAGATCATTCTAAAGCTCTTAGAAGGAAAGGCTCATTTCTAGTCTTCTAGTTTTGAACAAATTTTAGTATTGATTATTATCTGATTTTCAATACTTCTGACAACCTTAACAGACAGAAGTAGTGGTAGTAGTAGTTGTAACAGTAGTAGTAGCAGTAGGAGTAGTAGTAACAATACAGAAACATTTGTCTCCGAGAATAGCTCTCGAACAGGTCATTGGATATCCTCAAGACAAAAGCAGTTGTTTGGCGTTGACAGTTGGCCTATTAGTTTCAAAATCTATTCTGAACATAGATTTATCCGAAGCTTAGCCCTGCTATTAAACGCAGGCAGAATTACATCATAAATCTGGCTTTTTCTGCGCTAATACGTCTTGACTGAGCGCATTGTGCATTGAGAATTCTACAACCCCAAATCAAATACTAACAAAGTGATATTTTTACATGCCAGTTGTTTATGGGAGTTGTGTGGTCTATACTTACAGACCATCAAGAATGCATTATGCACTTTAGCGGCGTTTGATTGGCTCACATGGTACCAATCAACCGGGCTCTTGGCTGTCTAAAGCGGGGTCAAAAGCCAAACCAAAACCTTTACAGCCAAGCTATCTCTGCCACGCTGGAATGCACCGCTACAAGTCTGGGCTGTGTATTTGTCATTTGTTTAACTATAGCAAATTAACAAGCCATATAAAATGTATAATTGCACATTTATAAGTACAATTTCAAGGTGTGGAAGGATTTATTGAGTTCTAATGGTTTAAAAATGTGTATTAAAGTGCATATGACAGGTCAGACTACTTATATTATTAAAACATGGTATAGCAGCAGATATGGCATACTGTACGTAAAGGTAATTCCATAACTTATAGCAACTGTAATGTTAACCACCAAAACCTGCCTAAATTGCAAAATAGTTTTGGTTAGACTAATAAAAAATAAATGACAACACCATTATTTTGTTAAATGAAAGTTTAAGGTGCCAGAAAAATGTCTTGCTTGCACATAAATTCTCCCTGCTTTATGGATAGAATTTTCAGTGTTGATGAAAAAAGTTGGGAAGAAAAGTACAAAAATACAGGAAGAAGTAGCAGTAGTTCTAAAACAGCTACAATACCTTCACCTATATAATCAACATTCTATCAAAAAATGCAGAGATAATTTATGATTAAGGAACACATTTTCTGCCAGATTAAATATTGATTTAACAAAATAAAAGGTGTTGTCATATATTTTCATTAAAAATTTCACCCTTGTGAACATTACATTTACTAGGTCACAGAACTAGAATTAGGCCACCTCTACTGTGCATGTCATATCTGCGGCCGTGTCCAGGAAGTAATATAATAAACTTCCCCTGAATGTAAAACCAAACCAAGTCATTACTAGAAAAACATTAAAACCTGTCTACTGTACTTTAAAAGATCCTATATTACACAAAATTGGCTCTTGTGAGCTTTGAGCCATGTTAGACTGTTGTTATTTCATCAAAAACATACCTAGAGTTGTGTTTTGCTAGAGTAATTTATTTATTAATTAGTTTGTCTGCATCTCCAAAGCTCAAAAATGCTCTGCTGCACTTGTGAGGTCATGCAGAGGTAGTTTTCAAGTTAACAGCTACCTTTTACCTTTTGGTCAGAAAAGGATTATCTAACCGAATCTAGTGAAGGTGAAATGCACAATGGAGCACTTTCTGTATTACTGCATGACATTGCAAAGTGTTTTCTGTTTGAGAGAAGAATTCAGCCCAAATATGTGTTAAACGTGTGAATGAAACAAACACAACTCCAGGTACGTTTTTGATGATGAAACAACATTATAACATAGATCAGAAAATATAGTAATTTAAGAATTTTTAAAGCAGCTAAATGAGCTCTGATAGTTGGCTGTTACTGGTCATCCAAGGTGAAAAAACGCCCATGGGAGCTAAGTGGTAGGGGTCGACAGGCGGACTGGGGTTTATTTCGGGCACAAGCTCAGACTGGGATACAGACATGGCGGCGTGAGCGGGCAGGGGCGTGACGCGGTCCTCTGACACAGCTGCATCACGGGAGAATGCGTTGGAGGCGCCGTCCGTGTCCATGGCGGAGGAGGCGTCGGGGGGAGAGGCGCAGTCGCTGTCTGGATGCTCTGTGATAACTGTTGGACTGCTATGGGGAGCTGGGCTGGTTCTCTCGCTCAGATTACTGTACAAGGTCTGCAGTGTCATGGGGAGGGAATGGTACCTGAGGGAAAATTAAGATTGAGATTGATGGTTCGCCAATTACTTAGTGTCTACTTAAGTATAACAAATCATGAATGCCCATTTTGTAGTTGTTCTCACTACAAACTACTGTCCTAATGCAAAGCCTATACAACTATGGGAGATACTCTGAATTTTAAGTTTGGATATTTCTTTAAAAAAAACAAACGCTGAACCTTATTTGGGATTAGTTCCACAAACTTGCCAAACAAAAGACAAACTTTCAACTGACAATCATATTTTGGTCATTTCTGAAGCAACTGTGAAACAACAATTTCACTTTTCTTTATTTATTCTGACAAAGATCATTATTAACTTGTGCCAGTTTTTGTTTCATGTAGATAAGCACAGTAATTACAGAGATATTAACCATAAACTTGACCAACAATCTGCAATCTGACAGCAGCTAATTGAGACCCTTCCTCCAACTCAATGATAAACTATAGGCATTATAGAATACTGTGATGTCATGTGAAATGCTTTTAAAGTTTTTAAATATTGACATATATCCACTCAAAGCTGCTGGGGGTATTTTTATATATTGGCCTCAATGACAATGATTCTATGTATGCACTGATTTATATGTCCCACCTCTTCATGACAGTGGAGATGCATTCCTCCAGTGATGGATCATCCAGTCCCACCCCATACAGTCTGCAGCTCAGCTGATGACAGTCAGAGACATCCACCACCACTGTCAACACAAAGGACTTTTTACTTTTACTACTATATTATACCTCAAGAAATTATTAGATACCAATTGTACTATATATGTTTCTTTTTTTTTTTCAAGGATTAGTATGAGTAACAGTAGTAGGTAGAAGTGACTGCTCACAGACAGCCAAGGAGACAGTGTCAGGTCTATGGAAGGTGACAGTGAAGCTCGTGTCCGTCTCTGGGAGGACTTCAAAGTGCAGCTCAGAGGACAGACCTGGTAGAATCCACACATCTGTTACATAACTGAAAATATCCTTCCAAGTTGTGGAGGAAATGTTCAGAGCTTACTTGGAGACGCACATATGGATGTTATTGCACTCATCAGAACAGAGTTGATGGCACACTGGTGACGCAGCAGCTTGAGTAAAGCAGGCACATGGGACAGATGGGTGAAGGGAACAGTATCCACCAGAGTGCCTCTATGGGCAGGCCCCTCCCACGCTTCTCCTGGGAAAACATATGTGTGCATCCTGCCATCTACAGACTAGGGACAAGATAGAAGAATGAGTTTAGATACAATTTTATACTTGTAATAGTGTTTTAATAACCTACCACAGTAGAAATGACATCCTGGTCATCTGAACTCACTCCATGGCCGTTTGCACTCAGAAGATTGGGCAAGGGTGCCCACTGCAGGCCAACATCTGGTACTGGCACATCTTGTGCATACAAGACAAAAGCAGTGTCAACACCCAAGTCTAACAGTTCACTGGATCACTGCATTCAAACACTTTACTTTGCTCTGTTCTAATGAGTAATGACAACACTGGAACAATGAAATGTATATTAGAAATAAAATTCACCTGTGATCTGCCTGAGTTTGTTCCACAAAGATGACACCATTGCAACTGCAGGCTGCAGCTTAAGCAGGAAGCAGGCGGGCACCTGTTCAGATGGCACTTCATTTTGAGATTTAAACATGGGAAAGCTGGACAAATAGCAGCACAATGTTACTAATATAGCATATGTGTATGAAAAAAGGTAGTACACCAGTGTGAGGTTGCACCCATGTGGATTGAGCTGTGGAGGCTGGGAGATGGAGGACGCCACCTGCAGGCGATGGTGAACATCACTGAGCCCAATGGTTAGCTGGGCTGTGTGGACCTGTGTCTCTGAAAGAGAAAGCATGGAAATAATTAAAACACAAAGTCATTGACTGTTTATATTAAGTGAAGAAGGATTTGGAGCGGGTTACACAAATCAAAGGGAAATGAACAATTTAGCAAAACATTTATAAAATAAAGTGCCTATTAAGTGAAGTCAGAGGGGGTTAATTTGATTTAAAAAATGATGTCTAATCATCAGCATTTTACCAGAAACTGGAGTCAACCCCAGGTCAGGAGAGGCATAGAACTGGACAGTCAATGGACAATCTGCAGCAGAAACACATGTGAACATGGATGTTTGCTATGACACAGTCACACACTCATCATGTGGACAGTGATGCTTTCTCACAGACCTTCTTTTCCAACTGTAACCATGCCAACAATGCCATTGTTTATGTGGTCAGTTTGAGAACTAGGGTCAGCTGAGGACCTGAAACCAAAGGCAGACCATGAAAACAGAACTCATTAAATGATTTGTTGCACTCACCTTGGTAAACGTGATATCTGCTCTAAATCTTTTCCCATTGCTTGCAGGGACTCAAACAGTTTCAGTTTTAATTCACTGCAAAAGAAAAAAAGCAGTACTTTACTCAAATCTACATATACAGTCGTTATGTTATATCCCTATGGCTGATACATACATGTCTCCAGGGATGTTGTACTGGCTGAAAAGCTCCCCAAGCCTCTTTGAAAACTTTGCAAAATCTTTAGACCTATAAAGGAAACACAAAATGTATTTTTTAGCATTAAATCCTCCACTACCCATTTTTTTCCACCATATATTTGAGCAAAGTATGTCTAGTTCCACTATTATTACTAGTACAATTGTACAGGCAGCTCTAGAGGTCACCATGAGTCCACTGTGTACTGTGCAACCAACTATTCATGTTATTCTGCCCCGCCCACTTTTGTCTCTAAACGCTCCTGAACCGCACTTTCTTGTGGTGGCACTTCTGGAATAAGGTGAATACAGTGTTTTATGCTTTGATCAGGAAGTCATCAGGAAGAAATCAGGAAGTGCATGTTAGTTGTCGTCACTCCACAGTGGTCTCAGAGTTGTGAAAACTCATGGTTACCAATTAGCATGTTTGTAATGCATAAGGTAAGGGAGAAACAACTGTTTTAAAAGAGCCAGATCTGTTTTTCAGGTTTTTTAAGAAAGTAAAAATCAGGTACACTCTTTCTTACCTCAACAGCTGCTGAAATGACTCACTGGGCTGCAAATCAAATACATTTCATTAATGTATAGGGTTGGGTAAACTTTTTTTCTAATGGAGATAGACTGACCACAGGGATCTCTCCATGTGGGGCCACTCTGACCTCCTCCACCCCCCCACAGGGCAACAGCACCACCTCCAGGTAGAAGAGATCTGCGGTCAGGTAACATGTGCCATCTGTGACGTGGAAGCCCATCCTACATGGAAAATACAAAGCTCAGAGAGACAGCCCGTGTTTGCATGTTTATCAGCGGCAGTGGTTTATAGAAGTGGTTTACCCTTGTTGTTTAGCAATAGTTTCCAGTCGAGTTTTCATGGCATTTATGGATGACACTGGAACAAACAGAATGTGAGCACTTGTGTTAAAATAGAAATGGGCAAAAAAAATGTTGAGTTACCTTTGTTCAAGATAATAAAAAAAAATAATTGTTTAAATATATACCATATAGCTGAGTATGATAACTTCAATTGTGAATTCAAAATATGGAAAAATGACAAATAGGTTTCTTGCCAATTGTTTTTCTTTCTACACCTTTAGTATGTAATTTTAAAAGTACCACTTTGCAAATTTTTTGCTCAAAAATAAAAGCTTTTTTTTCCCCCACCCAATTGTGTTGTTTTTAATCGCACAGAAAAAACATTTGTTATGAGCAGGCTTGCATCTCCACAAACCTGATTCTTATTTGGAGAAGGGTCTCTGTCGAAACATTATCTTGACTATAATATTGCATAAAACCAAGAAACATAAGTGCTTCAAAGTTCCAATACCTTGTTAATGTACAAACCATGACTTTACTTGACCATGGTTTACTTTAGAAACACGCGTCTATGCTTTATCTCACACTTTTTTTTTTATTGTCTCTTTAAATGAGATATATGGTGCTTGTGCCTGCTATATAGCGATAATATATGACACCCATGAAACATTATGTTATAATTTGCACATTTTTTATCGCAATATTTATCTAAAATGACTTAATAAAAGAAACAAGTTCGCTGACTTCCAAGTTAAAAAATTGCAGTGCCCAATTAGAGCGGCAACTCTGATGGATAACTGGACATCACAATAGCAAACAGATTTTTTTCATTTGTACAAAAATGACTATGCTATGCTGCCAAATCCTGTATGTATCACCCATTAAGAAAATAAAATCTGAGAACAAGCAGTGGGTGTATACAAGTAGAAGTGAAAACAAGAGTTGATCAGCAATATGGTGTCTTGAAAATAAGTGATTAGAGATTACTCAAACAGGCCTGATCCACTCTAGAGACAGCTTTGAGTGGGTACATGAGAAGAGGAAACAACTATAACATGGTTAAAAGCTCTGAAAAATCAATTTTGCATAATAGAGCTGCTTTAATATTGAACGATTTTGAGTTTATTACCACTAAAAACCTCCTGAAGCCTTTGCATGGATCTCATCAAGGGTTCACATGGTTTGGATTCATCTCTGGATTTATCCTGGAAACCATAATAGAAGTTTAGAACAAGCCAAGCACAACTCTGTCCTCCTATCATCTTTAAAGTTGTTTTTGGCTTTACCCTATATTCCACGTACTATTGTGAAAACGCATTTAACCCCAGATTCTTCATACCGTCAGCTTTATCTAAGTCTAAGAAGCATCCATATTGGCAGGAAAGTTTATGACTACGCCTGGCTTCCTTATCCCTTTTGGACCACACATTGCTTTAGCCCACCAAGTAATCATCAGGCCCAGAGAGAATGACCACTGCCAAGCCCCACTTTACGGTAATCCTAAGTACTATCTCCACTGCTGCTCCACCCGTGACAAATCGTATTAAAATAAACCAGTCATCCAGGACTTCGGTTATCAGTTTTGCTCTGCATGAGAAGACTAAACAATGTGAGCTAAAAGAATGTTAAAAGTGAAACATCATCCAGGCCAAAATGGATACAGAATTAGAATTAGGGGTATGTTTTTTTTGTTTTATTTTGTTTTTTTTTTGTTAGTTGGCTGTGAAGTAAAGATCGTAGTTGTGATAAACCCAATTGTCAGTGCACACAAAGCTGATGGACTAACAATGGGTGGTGTGTTTTGGGGTAAATGACCTCACTCAGATCCTGGCACGAGCTATTTGGGTTAGACACATACTAAGCTTGTTACAGATATTGGTGGAAAGTAACTAAATACAAAAGTAACTGTACCGTAAACATATTTTTATCTGTACTTCAAGTTAATTTCAAAATAGATACATTTTACTCTTACTTCACTATATTTAAGAGTAATTTCTGCTCTATATGATTTGATTTGAATAGATTAAAACAATATTACTACATTTAATAGTTAAACTGAATTTAAACTAAATCTGTGTGCAATACTTTTACTTTTTACTCTAACAGTACATAATATACAGGTACCTCAATACTTCTGCAAATTAACAAAACTGAGTACTTGTTTGACTACTCTTACATAATACTAATAATAGAGAACAATGTGCTAAATCAATATAGGCCCACGTAATGATACATTACCATACATCTTCTCACAAGCTGAAACGTCTCATTCCACGACTTCGCTGAAAATTTGCTGTGCAGACCAGAAATGATAGATTCCATTTCTACAAAAGACATAACCTAATTGAAACACATTATTTATTTTAGATGAATTATTAATTTGACATTGCAGAGTTTTCTTTGCTTAAAAATGAGAATAGATTACATTTCCAAATTTTCTTACTACTTAGAAAAATGAAGCTAGAAAGTATATAAAGGAAGAAAAATGTGAATTGTGATCTAGTGCTTTTATGTGCTACTTTAACAGTGCACTGTGTACCTTTTTTGGTGAAGGGTCTGCCACTTGCCAAACCTCCTATCTCCATGGAGACAAGGAGGAGACGCCACCAAGCCAAGTCAGGTCAGTGGAAAGGTGACCCTGCACAGAGTATGAATGTATATTTTCATTAGCAATTAAAACATCTGCACCCATAAAAAGTAAAAAAAAACAAAAACAAAAAAAAACATCTATACTTTAAGAATGCAATGAAGATAAGTTTAAAATACTGTGGAACATTTCAGGTAAAGCAATAAAAAAGTTACACAGTGCACCTTTAAGGAGATTTTTTGGTTCAAGGTGTGAGAAACGTTTCCCATTTGGCCCAAATTGTGGCTTTAGAAGTGTACTGAAATAACATCTAGTTAATAATTTGGATATTTTGAAATTAAAATTGCAGTTTACCTGTTGAGTCCCACCACTTTGAGGCTATTTGCGTTTTGCTGACTCCAACGTGCTCCTCCTGCAAAACAAACGTGCGCCTCAATTATGATAATGAACCAATTAACCCACATTTAACTCATTGTTATTAACTTATTTCGACATAACATGCTTACAACATATTACATAATAAAGTCTACAACCGTGCAACTTACAAATGTTTCGAAATGACAAAAGCATTGAATCAAACTTGTCGCGGTGCGGTTTTCCAGACGGGCGGCGGGCGGGCGTTGTCAGACAGAGCCAAGCCCACAGGACGCGCGGTCACTCGGGTGTAGCAGCTCCCTCCCAGCGCCACTGTCTCCGGAGTTAGCATCAGCGAGCTAACATGAGCTAACAGGCAGCGGCGGAGCTAACGTGAGGTCTTTTTCATTTCAGCTGCTAAACGCCTTCGCCTAAACGCTGCCAAGCCACACGGGGTATTATCAAAGGTACGTAGTGTGCTTTAAAAGTTCACATTCACCGACCGGACATGTTTAAATCCCGTTTTGCCATTTTATGTTGCACCATTTAGTTGTGATGATTAGCTGCTTGTTAGGACTCGCTAGCCATTTTCGCCACCGGTTAGCTTAAATGAGATCAGAACACTCACGCATCTGTGCATATGTGTTGTGTTATCATCGCTATTAGTGTACACGAGTATTTGCTGTTAAATCTTGTTAATCGTGGACTAAGATGCTACCAGTGCGAGCAGGTTAGCCTTTTAGCCACCCGCTCACTATTATTCCACCTGCTAGTTGTTTAAACAGCAGGTAGGCAGTGGCTGAGAGACATCCGTAAACTTAAACACACTCCAACACTTATAAGAAGGTTACTTTAGGTGTGATCACGTCTAGTCTGACAGCTGTGAGGTCTGATTAAATGACTTCACTCATCTGAAATGTGCAACACAGCATTAGTCATGGCTTTGCTGTCAAACTAGTGGCCAATTTCATAAGCTACGGATTAATAACTGGTTTAATGGCTGTAATGATACTAATGCAATTAACCACAGCGATGAAAACGCTTATTTGCACAAGGTAGGGAGATCTTCTAAGAAAATTGTTCCTAACATAACCTTAAAGCTCCTGCCTTCCACAAAATTTACTCTTGTGAGCTTTTACTCATGTTATAATGTTGCTGCCTCATTAAAATAAAAAAAATATACTTGGAATTGTGTTTTGCTTTCTTCATACATGTTTGAGGGACCCTTTATTATTAGTCTGTCTACTTCTCCAAAGCTCAAAATGCTCTGCTCCACCTTGTGATGTCACAAGACAGTAGTTTTCAGCTACCTTTTACCTTTTTGTTTCACAGAGATTGTAAATTCCAAGGCTGAAATTATCCAAATGATTGTAGTGAAGGTAGATGGAGTTTAAAAACACTCAGGACTTCCTGTGTTACCACATGACATCTCAATGTAGAGAGTGTTTCTGTCTGAGAGATGAACTCAGCTTGAATATGCAGGGGCTTATGTGTTTAACATGTGTGAATGAAGCAAAACACCACAACTCCAGGTATAGTTTTGAAGAGGAAACAACATTATAACATAGATCAGAAAATGGCATAATATAGACTCTTTTAAGAAACCAAAAGCATGACATACTACATGTAGTGTGGTGTGCTTAATGCAAGTGCTTTCCGGGGCTAATGGGTGCATTTAAAATGCAGCTCAGGGCTGTTTATTTCCTCACTAACAGAAGCAGCTCAGATAGGTGAATGACAGCGCCTTCAGGACACTACTAAATCTAACAGAGTCTTGCCTGAGCTGAGTGTTTAGTTCATTTGTGTAATGACCTCCTGGCTTGATTCCCACCCTTATCACTGCTTACCAAAGGTCTTTCTGATGAGAGCTCAGCATTCACTCCACATCATGGTATTCCCACACATTTACAGACTGGTGTTTGGGCTAGTGTTGGCTGTGTGGGCACGTGTCATAGTGCATTTGCTTTTGAAGTTATGATTTAAAATAAGGCTACATTACTTTACAAGGTTTATTAACTACAAGAGATGAAGGTTCCACCATAAATCTTATTTAAGCAGGTGAAAGAATGTTGAACTTGTGCCACTATGTGAATTTGAATCTATGTTATACTTTCTGTCTGCAGATACAAACTCTAAATCAACTGTCCTTGGCCTTGAGATTTAAATTCTCATTTTTTTGTTATTATTACCACTAGCCTGTTATTATTTTATCAGACACATTTCTACTGCAAAAGAGTAGGCCTGTCACGATAACCATTTTGGAAGTGCAATACACTGCTTAAGTAAATATAGAAGATAAACGATAATATCCAATAACCAAATCCTAAAGCAGAAAAACAATTCTAAATGTTCAATATTTAAAAAAAAAAAAAAGCTACAATAACTAAATAGCAACACTTTTAGCAGTTAGTTTGTATCTATAATGAGTCATACTTTGTAATTTATTCAACCTTCAACATCTCAAATGTTGTATTGCAAAATATAACTCCATCTGTCCTATATTGAACAATAAGTTAATATTGTAATTATTGTGACAGGCCCACAAAAGAGCATATGCTGTAATAGTGTTGCAGTAATAATTTCTCCAGTTTGAAGACAGGCCAAACCACTGAAACAGATTCCAGCGCCTCAGAAGTGATGACGAAACAAACTTTGATTTTCCTTCCTGTACTTGCAGCTGCTTGGATCCTGGGATTGATTACTGCAGCCTCCATTTCATAATCGTCACCTTGAACTTTGACCCCTCCGCACTCCAATCTCCTGGTACACAGAGCTATGGCTGCTGCTAAGCCTAAAGGCCAGAACTCTCTGGCCCTGCACAAAGTGATCATGGTGGGCAGTGGAGGCGTGGGCAAATCGGCCCTCACCCTGCAGTTCATGTATGACGAGGTGAGCTTGTGTTTCATGTTTCATACTATGTCATATTGCTTTACCTTTAAAGTGCCCATATTAACAATTTTTTGATCATTGTTATAATATTGTTACCTCATCACAAACATACCTGGAGTGTGTTTTGTTTCATTCACACATGTTTATCCCACAAATCCTGCATGTTTAGGCTTCATTTCTCAAACAGAAAACACTCTGTTCCACCTTGGAACAGAGTGGAGAAGAGCATTTTGAGCTTTAGAGATGCAGACAGACTAATGATAGGGGTTACTCAACATATGTGAATGAAACAAAACACAACTCCAGGTATGTTTTTCATTAGGTAACAACATTATAACATGGCTTAAAGAGTCAATTTAGCATAATATAAGAGTGAATATGACAGGTTCAAATACTCATTTCATGAAAACACAGTAAACATAATATATTTTAGATTTTAGTGAATATCTTGCCTTGATTTTAAAAATTGCCACCTTTTGCTTTCATCACTGCCGTTGACTCAGACAAGACACACCTCTGCAGTGAAAGCCATTTCAAGTGTATTCATTATGAAGATCAACAAAGCGTGGGTGGTCACTTTGAGGATATGAATGCAAAATATTAAGCAAAGTCAAGTTATTTTTTTTTCCCTTAGCTATATTCCATATATCTTGCTTCATATATTTTATGTCTTCCATATGTGAGTGTAAAGTAGAAACCAGTAAACACAAAAAAATGTGTGTCCAAACTTTTGACTGGTAGTTGTAGGTAGAGGTATTCTGTTTTAGAACCTCTACTTCCTGTATTTTTGTAGTTTTCTTCTCACCTTTTTCCTCAAACTGACACTTGATAAATATTTACCACGGTATTATCCCATCAAACTAAGTAATACTTGCAGGTATAAGACGTGACAACCTGACATATGCACTTAAATTCTTATAAAATAAAATGTTTTCTCTTATAGTTTGTGGAGGACTACGAGCCAACCAAAGCAGACAGTTACAGGAAGAAGGTGGTGTTGGACGGAGAGGAGGTGCAGATCGACATCCTGGACACGGCTGGACAAGAGGACTATGCGGCCATTCGGGACAACTACTTCCGCAGCGGCGAGGGCTTCCTCTGTGTGTTTTCCATCACTGAGCTGGAGTCCTTTGCAGCCACAGTAGACTTCAGGTTCAGTATTGTTGGGCTTCAGTTTACATGATATTGTATGTACTTGTACTTTTTGTTTGTGTGCTATGCCAGCTAACTGATTAAAGGTACTTAGTTTTTATGATCCTAAAAACATGAAAAACAGAACTAGAACAGAACAGTTTGAAGTGGTCCATTGTTATTCCTCAATTACCTTATGAATTCAGAACATCCTGATTATTCACCATGAGGAGTTTAGAAGCACTTTTCACAACTCTGAGAGACCAGAGTGGAGTTTTGCTTTCACAATAGTGCTAACAACAACTAGCATGCTAACTGTACAGTTCCAGATTATCAGACAGTTAAAAACATGTATAATAACATGCAGACAGTACACAGTCAACCTATTTTGACCTCAAGTTGCTTATACAATATCTGTTCTGATACATTTGGGCACATTACTTGTTCTTGGTCCAATGTTCAAATTGATTCATAATAAACTTAAATTAACCACTAATTTAAATGTTGATTAATGCTGTAAATTACTCTCAACTGTTTTTAAGATGTAATTTTGTTTGAAGAGAATACTAATGTTGTTTTTCCAGTTTGATTTTGTCAGAGAGCAGATTCTGCGGGTGAAAGAGGATGAAAACGTGCCCTTTCTCCTGGTGGGTAACAAATCGGATTTGGACGACCGGCGGCAGGTGAGCGCAGATGAAGCCAAAGCGCGCGCCGAGCAGTGGGGCGTGTGCTACGTGGAGACCTCCGCCAAGACCCGCGCCAATGTGGACAAGGTCAGTCCTTCTATCAGGATAGCACAACAGATTTACAAATGGGTTGGGTTAACATGACATCAAAATATTGTTGTAGAAGTGCTATGTTTACAATTAAGGTGGACAGGAATTTTCAGTTTAACTGTCTCTGTAATTACTCGGCCTAGCGACTAAACAAAAATCTATTCAGCTCTTAAGATGTGATTGTTGTCAGTTGAAAGGATTTTAAGACATGAGATTAATTTTGCATGGTTGTGGAGCCAATCCCTAACAAATAAACATAAGGTTCAATGCTTGCACATTTCTGTTATAGTTAAAACTGACAAAGCTGTAGAGATACTATGAAACTATTTTGTTTTTTCCAATATTTCACTGAAAGGCCTGGCCTGAGTCAGAAACATTTGAACGTTTTAATTGAAACTGCTATCCCCGCCCACTTAGTCTTTTCTTCCATTGTGATACTGCACCATGACACAGACTGCCTGGGATTGTCTCCAGTGGTTGTTTGCATTTAGTTCTCCAATCTCCACCTACCTAAACCTTATTTGTCACTCTTGAAAATGCACCATGACAGAGACTACATCACAATTCTCTTTCTTTCTCTGCTTCCTTTTCCTTGATTCCTCTCCTCGACCCACCATTTTTCAGCTGTCAATCGAATGCACCATATTAAAAGTGCTCCAAAGTTCAGAGGAGGCAAAGGAAGGAAACCACGAAGGAAATATGAGCTTGTGTTCAGGAGGCAGCCATTGGATAAAATAATCAGACTGTATTTGTCTGAGCGAGGACTTTGTATTGTTGCAGCAGCAAAAGATGTTCGACATGTAACGTATACATCCTGAATTTGACATTAAAGCTAATAAAAGTAGAAAAAAAAAAGTTTATCTGAAAATAAAGACGTTGGTCTGACTTTGCTTTACAAGTCCTGAAATAATAAGATAAAATAATTCTTAGTATAGTCTGCATTTGGTCAGAGGAAAGGCTGTCCCATTCACCCTCAGCTGGTGTCTCCTCCTGCCTCTCTCCTCTGCTCCTCCCTGTGTCTCCTCTGTGGGCCTCACCCATGTCCGGCAGGATCCAGGAGAGGAATCAAGGAGAAGGAAGCGAGGAAAGAAAAATGACACGCGGCCAGAGAATCAAGTGTCTCAGATAGTATCAGGAACTTGATTTCCCTTGATTCTCTTACTAACTATGTTCTGATTGGAAAATGTGACCCTGCCAGAAGTTTCCATATTGCTTATTACCAGAGAAAATGCTATGTAAAATTAATAGATTATATTTTACAGCTGACATAATTTTCTGATTTCGCTTTTCACTTTCGCTTTTACCAAAAGAACGTGATTTATCTTGACAAGAACACATGAAAATCAGGTAGAGGCCTCTTAAAGCACACCTATTATGCATCGACTTCTCAGACTTTTAACCATGTTATAAATGTTTCCCATCACCATTTACACACCCGAAGTTGTATTTGGAGTGATTTGTGATTTTTGATTGGTGATTTGAGCAGTCTTAAATTGTTTATTTTCAAGACACTAGGGGTGTAACAATAACTGAAATATTGTGATATCGTTTTGTTAGAAGTCTCACAATAATATCGTGGGCTGGCACAATATATCGAATTACAAGTTCCTTTGCTTAAATTCGTGTTTTTATTGTAGCAACAGCTTGTAAACATTGGGAACTACATATCCCATGATTCTTTTCACTGCAAAGAACATGAAGAGAGATGTTTTTTACTTAAATTCTCGGGATTATGACGGAAATAATTCACACCAAAATCTTGTCAAGGTATTTTAAAAGCAAAAAGTGTCCCATCTACAATTATATTAGCCTCTTCAAAACATCGTACCGTGAGATGCATATTGTGATAATATCGTACCGTGAAATTTTGATATCGTTACATCCCTACAAGACACCATTTTGACAATCAGTGCCCATACTTCCACTGCTCTGTACTTCTCTCGTTCTCCAATTTTACTTTCTTAATCGGTGATATGCGTAGGATTTGGCAGCGTTGTGTAATGGTTTCGGTCCAGATGAAAAAAATCTGCAGCTCGCTAGTGTGATCTGCAGCTGTCCATAGGAAGGGCCAACAACTTCAAACGCAACTTTGCTCCCACTGGGCACGGACAGCAGCAGAGTTGTTTCTTTTATTTACTCGGTTTAGATGAATATTGCAGTGTAAAATGTCCAGATCCACGGGTGTTGATAGATTATAGCAGACAAAAGCACAATATGTCTTCTTTAATTTGAATCTTGTTTGCGGCAGGTGTTCTTCGACCTCATGAGGGAGATCCGCGCACGGAAAATGGAGGACAGCAAAGAAAAGAACGGGAAGAAGAAGAGTAAAAGCTTGGCCAAGAGAATCCGAGAGAGATGCTGCATTTTATAGTGGTAAACGAAAGCAGGTGCACCGCCTGTGTGTACATATATACATTTCTCAGACTTTTGCATTTATTTCGTGCCCGTACCTGACCATAGCGTTCAGCCCCTAATCCACGGGAGCCCTGATTGCGCAACAGGTAGTAGTAACACGGCACCGCATACATCGTTTATAGCTCTAACTTTTTATGTGCTAACACTCCAAAATTCTCTTTTCTCTCTTATCTCTTTTAACCACAGTACAGTGATAAGTGGATGGTGTTTTTAATTTAGACTTAATCTTCTTGACAGCCTTGAAATGTTACGACAACATTTTATTGTAAAGTTCAATGTGTATAGTAAGTATATTCAGATAACTGTGCAGTGCAAATTGGAAAAAAAAGATACAACAAACACAGATTCAAAGGGGAATATGAAACTAAAATTCAGTTGTGGAAAGCCCCTTGTAAAAAAAAAAAAAAAAGTCTTATTGCTTATCCGAATAGCCATCTTTATTACAGCCAAAATACATCAAGTGCCACCCCGGGACATGTACATTGCACTGCTCAATTTGTATAGCGTTTTTTCTTTTTTCTTTTTTTTTTTCTTCTTCACACAAATGGGCTATTGTTAAAACGAAGCCAGAGCTGAATTTTGATGCCATTCCAGTTTGTTCATTTTTGTTCTCTATATTCTTGTATCTTTAATTTATTTAATTTTTTTGCTTTTTTTTTTTTTTGCCCCTCAATCTACACTACACAAACTACATCAACACTATGAATCTGACTGCTCTACTTCATAAAAATGTTTAATCATAATTGTTTTTTTTGTTTGTTTTTTTTTAGACTAGACAGTTTTGGTCAGTTCAAATTACCTCTGTGATTTTTATTGCCTTTTTTCTATAGGAATCCCTGGTGCTCTGTATTTTAACCCAAACACTACATCCTGAAACGCTTTCTAAGAACAGGCTTATATTTATGTCATTAATATGTGTTTGTCATACTAAATGCATTGCGTCCATTGTTACAATTAAAGTGCATATGACAGGTTGGACTACTAATTTCTCTAAAACATAGTTAACATCATTATATTTAAGGTTTTACTAAAAATCTTGTTTTGTCTTTGTTAGTTTTTGTCATTTTGGTGAAGTTTGCAGATATGACATACGCAAATGTACCTAGCAACCATAATATTAACAAATGGTGATGATTGATTTAACAAAATAAAAGAGGTTTTATTTGTCAAGTCTAATGTTTAAACTGTCAGAAAGATGCGTTGCTCGTGCATAAATTGTCTATGGATTTTGAATGGAATTTAGAACTTAGAACTGTTCCCGTACTTTCCAATTTTTTGTTTTCTACTTTACTTCTCAAACTGCCAGTTAACTGATGTGAAACTATTATGAAAATGAAATGAAAAGTTACCTCGGGTACTAGCCCACCAAACCAAGTAATGATTAGAAAAGTATATGAATCTGTCAACTGCACTTTAAAGCCCCAGCGATTAGTCAATATGAAGACAGAAATGACTGGAAAATGTTTTGAAAGTGTCCAAAAATGTCTCAGTCTCAGTCACCAAAGAAACATGCTCGCTAGCACATACAAGTGCCCGTCAAACTCTAGGTGAATGATAAGAAGGTAAACGGCACCAGGAAAAGCTCCGTGCCGAGGCTCGTGTGTTTTATGTAAACTATGTGTAAATATGGAGAGGGATTGGAGGAAAGTTAAGCTAAGACTTTTCATGGTAAAGAGGGCTCTAGTCACTGGCTGTGGTCACATGCACACCAAAATCTGAATATTATCTATCCAGACTTTAAGGATTATTTAAATGACATGTTAACTGCTAAATCTGATGTGAGTAATCTGAGGGACCATGATCAGAGAGAAATGAGATGATTTTACTGTTAACATGGCATTTTAAAAAACAAGTATGATGAATTATTTGTATTGTTGTTTGCCTTTAACATACTTAATTAAAAACCAGGCATCATTTTACAGCCTCGGTGCTCAGTATACTAGTACTGTGATCTGATCTTGCCCTCTGCTGGCAAGAGAGGGAATTACCACAGGAAAAACAATGAAACTATATAATGAGCAACCTGTTCAGACATGATGATGTAAGTGTGCAGCAGTAATGAATGCAATTTGACCTCTGAAATGCTTAAAATGAGTTTGCCGATGATTTATAGACTTAGAAGCCCTGTGCGGTTTTTATCTATGACATCACAGTCCCACAGGAAATTTAAAACAGTTTGGGGAGGCTTAGAGGCAAAGGATTTTTTATAGAGGATTAGTGAAATACATGACGTGAAATACAACTCCAGGTATATTTTTAATGAGGGAACAATTTTCTAACGTGGTTAAAAGCTCAAAGTAAATTTTGCACAATATACATTCTGTCAAAAATTTGATTAATACTGAGATTTTGAGTGTGCATGTAGCTGCAGTCATTCATGTACAGTGCATCACTGTTGCCTCTCTGTCCATTGTGAATGTGATCACTTCTCCCCTTCTGCTTGGCTGTATAGTTTTAATGATGTGAGCTAGTTTGTGGTAAAAAAAAATAAACATGTATACTTGTCTCCTTGGATGAGAATAGCGTGGTAACAGCTACTAAATTCTCTTGTGGATAAAGAGTGTCTGTCACAGTCTTAAGAAATTGGAGAAACATTCAGTCATTTTAACAGGTTTAATTTGGTTACACTGACCAAACCGCACTGTGATTTTTGCTTTCTTCCAACCACAATTTCTCTTTTTAAATTATCTTAATGTGTAATTATTCATATGATACAAGACTGATGCTCATCCAACTTCTAACCTAATTTTTCCTACATTTCCAAACTAACAATTTAGCGTGGGAGATGTTATGAAGAAACAAATGATCCTAATCTAAAGTCTATGCAAAATGAGGAAATTGACAGAATGTATCTAAACACTACCTGCAGCAAACTACAGTCACAATGAATTACTTTTGAAGCTCTGGATTTGCTTAAATGCTCTCGCCTGTAAATTATAATCAGCTTTTGTGTTTTTAACTTTGTAACATAAATAGACTTTACTATTGCAAATCACGTTTTACTTGTTTATTGAAAAGCACAGTGTGTGTAAGAATGGAAGTTGAGATAAGAGGCATGTTTTGAGCGAAATATTCAAAAATGTCATTGATTTTTAGAAGGGTTAAAATGTTGTTAAGATAAATCTGTGTAAAGGGCTACCTTGCAGTTAAAGGACCCATATTACACTATTTTCTGATGTATTAGCATGTTATAACGTTGTGTCCGCATCAAAATCATGCGCAGAGATGAGTTTTGTTTCATTCACACATGCTTAAGAGACAAACCCTGCATAGTTATGTTGAGTTCTCAAACTGAAAACACTACTCCACCTTGTGATGTCATGTGGTAATACAGGAAGTGGTCCACTGTGTTTTTAAACTCCATACACCTTCACTAGAATCATATAGATAACTGCAGCCCTGCAATTGCCACTCTCTACTGAACTAAAGGTAAAAAAGGTAGCTGTTAACTTGAAAACTACCACTACATGACATCACAAGGTGGAACAGAGCATTTGGAGGTGTAGACAGTGCAATAATGCAGGATTACTCAAAAATGTGCGAGTTTGAATGAATGATGAGGCAACAACATTATAACATGACTTAAAGATCAATAGAGACAATTTTGTGTAATATAGGACCTTTAACCAAGACATGACTGAAAAACACCTCAAGACTAGAGTAAGCAAAAGGCGCAGACAAAAGCATATAGCGTCTACATTGTTTCAACTGGGGAGCTATGACGATTCAAGTTGACATTAATTATTATTTTTGCTTTTGTTGAATTTAATATCTTATGTCATGCATTGTTTACCTTTTGGATTTGTGTATGATAGCCTATATTATAAAGGCCCAAATGTTTTCTGTGGGATGGGTAATATTTAACTAAATGTGTGAAAGCTTTGAGCGCTCTCTCCTTCTGGGTATTCAGTAAACTTGCCTTTTATAGTAATATGATTATACCAGTTGGAATAAAATTGCCCTGATCGTATGGCAGAGTGTATGTTTTCGTCATGTTTACTTATTTACTTTATTTCAGACATAACCACTAATGTAGCCTATTTTGGTGAATGCAAGGAGCAATGCTTACATTTCAATTCATTTTGTGACTTATTTGGAAATGGCAAATAAAGTGGATATTACTAATAATAATTGTGTGTGTTTTATTATTATCCATGTTTTTGTTTTAAGAAATTGTACTTTTCAGAGTATTTGTCTAGCAACATACTTTATACAAGTTTTGGTTACTCTTCCCACTTTCCCAGTCTACAAGTGACAAAAGCTTCATGTGGACAAATTAATATGAAATTATTTGAATGTTTATTGCATAGCTCCTGTATCTGTCCTTTGGAAATATCAGATTTAGTTCAGTATTTGATGTTTTGCCCTTCCAATTTCATTCATTTCAAACTCTAAATCTGATATGTCCCAACAGTTACTCTTGAGTGATAATAGTAGAAGTAGTTTTCCCAAATACTTTGTGAGTACAATTTTTGGTTACTCCCCTCTGCACGTTCTTATAAAATACACCAGGTGAAATCTAAAGCTGTATTTATTCCTGCATGTACTCGTTCCTTTAATAGATCCATGGTACTAGAAGTCTTTAGTGCGGGCAGGGGTTCCCCTCGTGAGTGACGTACGCGCTGGTCGGGATTACGCTGGCGGGCGTCATTGGCTGACGCCGACGCACGGGCCTACAGTTTGAAAGCTGTCTGGGCCCGGACTTGCGGTACCGTTAGCCTCCAGACCAGCAAAGTGCTTTTATTATTGCATTGATCCGGGAGCTGTTGGGTGGTTTTGTCCCGCAGGATGTGCTGTGTGTGTTACTGAAGTCCCCGGCGCACAGAGCGTCTGAGCAGGAGTCGTGAACGCAGCGGACTATCGGCTCATTGTTTTGGTTCCATTCGCACCGAGGGGCTGTGTGCTCAGAGAAAGAGCGGCTCAAGTGCATGAAGCTAACCTAGCCGAGGCTATCCGGCTAACGCGTGTGTGCACTTCCTTGTTGCACAGTGCACAGTGATGGAAGGAGAGAAGAAGTTTGACAAGAGCCGTGGTTTGTTTCTTTGAATGTAACGCCATCTTTTGAATGGATATATGCGTGGAGACGAGCTGCGACATTCCAGGACACACGGATTTGGACAGTGATGCGGCTGCAGGTGGGAGCTGTGACCATGAAGGGAAATGCGACTGACTAGCCGGATCATGTTAGCTAACGCTAAGCGGGCTAAGCACACTAGCATCGGCTAACTCGTTTTGCAGGCGCTTTAGGGCTTATTTTGATTGACCGATTACAATGACGAACACAGTGTGTGTCATGTTGTATTTTCTACTGGCACCTGAGTACTAAACAGTCATCTGTGCTCAGTGATATTCACACTGTTGGCTTTGTAATGCTAACATTGGGCTCGGCTGATGGCTAGCTAGCTGGCTTACCATTTGTCAGTTTGCTACGCTGTAAGCTACTTAGCCTTTCCAGCTAGGCGAATGTTTTGTTCCATGGAACAAGTGACCCACCTAAGAAGGCACATATATTACATACATTAGCACTAGTAAAGAGCGCGGTCTTTATCAGTGTGAGGAGCCAATGCCTAACACAGAAGTGCTCCGGGAGGCCCGGGCGCGCAGCCCCTCTGGACAGAGGAATGCTAACCGACAGGACAGGCGCAGCAGCGGCCAGAGAGACAAGCGCCGTGACAAGAGGCGCCCATCGACATCCAAGAAGAAGAGGCGCAGACAGGGCCGGGACAGAACCGTGTGGCGCGGGGGGCTGACGGGGGAGCACAACCACGAGCGCAGGGACGTGTTTGAGAAGGACACGGAGTTGCAGACACTAGTGGAGTACGATGACGTGAGTTCGCAGTCGGAGCGCTTTTCTGGGAGCCCTTCGCCTAAACTTGACCCGCTGGCTGACAGCCTGCCAGGGGACCCACTCAGTGATGTTGACCTTGGTGAATATAATGGACCAGCATCCCCAGACAAAAGTTTGTCTAGAAGTCGTGAGGCAGTTGCTCTCAGTAAGGAACAAACTAAAGGGCCATCAGAAAGGAGCAAACAGGACAGAGAGCTGAGCAGGAGGAAGGAGCGCCGGAGCCGTGAGAAGGACTCTAAAGTCAGGAGTGGAGGCAGCCTAAGTGGCTCTAAAAACCACAGAGACACTGCCAGAAGCAGTGACCGAAACGGTAAGAGGACATCTTCTTCACAATCTGCAGATAAAAGAGATTCTAAAGGGCACAGGAGCAAAACGAGAGCTGAAAAAGAGCCCCCATCTGCTTATCGAGACGCTCCTTTGGCCTACAGAGAAGACAGAGAAGAGCTCAGGGCGTACAGGAGGAGTCCTGGATTAAAAACAGACAGTCCCTATGGGACATCCTACAGCTACCAATCCCCTGCTTATAACCAGCTGGTTTCTAGAAGAAGTCCACCTTATAGCAGCAAAAAACTATCTCCCATAACCACGTATTACAATCGAGATGCAGATACTTATGGATCATATGGCGTGTCAAAGTCTCCCAGTTCTTACTCTAGCAACAAACGGAAACGATCGCCAGCCAGTCCAGCCAACTGGCGCAGGTCTCCAAGCTATGAACAAGGAGAGTTTGGGTCCAGCCCTTATGCAAGCCGCAAGAGGTCCAGAAGTCCATACAAGAAGTCTTTAAGCCCCAGTCCAGATGTCAGGTAAGACTTTATCTATGGTACATCTATTACTTGCTATGGTTTAAAAGTTTGACAAAATGGATAGGTAATTATAGACATAACCATGCTAATAGTTACAGTCTCTATGTAAATGACATGCCAAAGTGTCATGCTTAGTTCTGTTTCCTGATAGCTGTAAACGTGACTACATTTGCCCTAAATCCTTTTACTGTGCTCTCTGCAGGCGCTCTGCCCGCTCTCGCAGCAGAAGTCCCTACACCTCCTCCCGACACTCTCGCTCACGCAGTCGCCACCGTGACCGACACTCTCGTTCCCGTAGCCGCCCAACCAGCCTGTCCCCGAGCACGCTCACCTTCAAATCCAGTCTGGCCGCTGAACTGAGTAAACAGAAGAAAGCTAAAGCAGCGGAAGCAGCAGCCAAAGCTAAGAACTCCAGCAACACATCTACCCCGACCAAGGGCTCCTCAGCCTCTCACCAGCCCAGCCCCAAGACCAACCACACCTCACGGAAAGGACGGCCCCCCTCGCCTCCTCCAGAGAAAGGGCCCCGGACACCCCCACTGAGCGCTCCACCCTCACCTCCGGAACGCTCGGTCAAAAGAAGCAGCGATCACCCTACGAAGGACAGAGACGGGAAGGGAAAAGATGATTCACTACAGAGAGATAAGAGGAAAGCACCAGCAATTGCACCACTCAAGGAAAAGGACAAAAATGCTTCTTCACTCGGATCTAGTTTGCTGTCGTTGCCAATGCCCCCCATGGCTGAGAACTCGGAGAAAGGAGAAAGGTAAAGTACAAGGCTCTTCGTATGTGATTTGTGCTGTTAACTTGTATTGAATTAGCATAATCAAAGATATTGGAAGATGCTAATCAATTCTAAAATTTGTATTGAAACTTTGAGCAAGTATTGATACTAAAAATGTCACACCACAGGACAGAAATGAACCTTTCCTGAATAGCTTTAGAATGATATTGAGCTGAAGTGTATGATTTTCTTTTTTAAGCTTGAAGGACAACTTACTCTCAGGGAAGAAGAAATCAGAGAGAAAGGCCCGCCCGCTTTTGACGGATCTGCCTCTGCCACCTGAGCTTCCCAGTGGCACCTCGTCTCCACACAGCCCGATGGATGAGAAGAAGGCTCAAGCTGTCCGCAGAAGACCCAAGTATGTGTTCATGCTGTTTCTTGTGCATTTACCATAAATGCTTGTATCTAACCTGTTTTGCTTTACAGAATTTGTGGACCAAGATATGGTGAGATTAAAGAGATCGAGATTGACTGGGGCAAACGCTGTGTGGACAAGTTTGAGATCATTGGCATCACAGGAGAGGGCACATACGGGCAGGTGTACAAAGCTAAAGACAAAGACACAGGTTAGTTTACAGTAGTACAAGTATACAATGTTTGTCCCTGAAAGCATTGAATGTTCCCAGCTCATGTTGTTAGATTTGTAATTTTTCCTTTTTTCCAAACAGCTGAAATGGTGGCTTTGAAGAAGGTCAGACTGGACAATGAAAAGGAGGGCTTCCCGATCACAGCAATCCGAGAGATCAAAATCCTGCGACAACTTAACCACAAGAGTATCATAAACATGAAGGAGATAGTTACAGATAAGGAGGACGCGCTGGACTTTAAAAATGATAAAGGTACTAAGCTTTTGGTCAAAACACATGAATTTGAGAGTATTTAAGCATAAAAAAAGTCATACAACTGTGTATTATTTTCTTTAGGTGCTTTTTATTTAGTGTTTGAATACATGGACCATGACCTGATGGGTCTGCTGGAGTCAGGACTGGTCCATTTCAATGAGAGCCATATAAAGTCTTTCATGCGTCAGCTGCTGGAGGGCCTTGATTACTGCCACAAGAAAAACTTTCTCCACAGGGACATCAAGTGTTCCAATATTTTGCTCAATAACAAGTCAGTTCATACAGTTAGTCCCTAAATGTTCTTTTAGGCAGCTTTTTTTTAAAGGTCTGTGTTTATCTTTCAGAGGTCAAATAAAGCTGGCAGACTTTGGGCTTGCTCGCCTGTATAACTCAGAGGAAAGGTGAGTATATTGTGTCCTATGGACTCTGAATTTCATTTCATTTGAATAATTGCGTTTTCTCATCATTTTACTTTTCTTCCAGTCGGCCATATACCAACAAAGTGATTACACTATGGTACCGTCCCCCAGAACTGCTCCTGGGTGAGGAACGGTACACGCCTGCTATTGACGTGTGGAGCTGCGGGTAAGACTAACTCTAATTGGCACAGTACAGCAGTTTTGTCCTGGTCTAATCCTGGTTTAGTTCTGGGTTTATGCTGTTTTCCACTTTGTCCTTAGAGGTTAGATTTTCAGAGTTCCA